TTTTAGTTTTAGGGTTTAGGGTTTAGGTTTTAGGGTAGAGATGATCAAAGGGTATCCGTTGCGGATACCCGTTATTCGCTGGCGGATACCCGCCTGTGCCAACAAATACCCAACAGTGGATGTGTATTTGGGAGCAGATGTCCCCTTCCCCCTGAAATCCTGGCAGATATCCAGATATCCCAAGGGATACCCGGTGCCAAGAGACTGGAAGGTTTTCCAGTGGAGTGGAATTTGTTTACAAAAAAATAAACAGAAAAAAACCGCCCCCCTTGGTCTAGAAAAGCAGAGGCCACACCGTTGGGAGGAACTGCTCCCGGCAAGAATCTACATGCCAGCTTGCTGGGAGGGGTTCCTCCTGACGGTGTGGCCTCTGCCTCTCTAGGCCAAGGGGGGGCCTTTTTTTTCTTTTCTTTTTTTTGAAAAAAGAATCCCACTCTGCTGGAAGGGTATCCTTCCAGCCGGCAATCGTCAACCACTAAAAGGGTGGGTATCTGTGGATACCCACTGTAGCCAACGGATACCAGCCAGCGGATGCAGATGCGGATCCAGATGCCTGATTCCACTGAAAAAGCGGTCGGATATCCACATCTGCGTGGTTGTCCAGATGTGGCGGGGCCATCTCTAGTTTAGGGAGGTCATGAGGGCTTTTTTTTATAAAAATTGGGCAAAAACTGTTTTTACAGTTTTTTACCCAGCTCACACAGCTCTGCCTTGCCTTTGGTTCCAAACCCTATTGTTGCAAACAAAAGATAATGACACCATTATCTTTGGTTTGGGACCAAAGGTTTTGATTGACAAAACTTGTTCCAGCCTTGGATATTGTTGGACATATTGTGTCTAAGCAAGGCTGACAAGTATTGAAGCAAAAGAAGAACCATGTTTGATGAGGAAGATTCCCTCGCAGTGAGTGACTAGTGCGCTTTCTGGGCATGACTGCCTTTTGACAAGCAGCTCCTAACTGGTATCTGCTTGACATGTTGGGTCACGCTCGAGGTAAGCCTCACAAGGTAGAGTCCCTCGGTGAGCAGGCTTGCCGGGGATGAGGATGGACTGCTTGCAGCAGATGAACACCTTTCTCAATAAGCAGACAGTTTATACACTTGCTAAAAAGACATTCCCTGAGCTGACCAGATGCTTAACACGCCCTCAACACCTCACAAAAACCCTCACACACAAAAAACACAAATCCAAACCAAAGAAAAACAGGAAAAAAATAAAAAAAGAAAAGAAGAAGAACTGAAGAGGAAAGAAGGAAGGAAGATAATATCAACTGAACAGACAACTCTTCTCAATAAGCTGACAGAGTAGGCACTTGTTAACGAGGCATTTGACCAGATGCTAACATGCCCCCAACACCTCGCACTCAACCTCACACACAGAAAATACAAATCCAAACGAAATAAAAGTGAAAAAAGAGAAATACCAAGGTGGAGATAGAGAAACCCAAGATGAAAAGAAGAAACAGACTTATGGACTTTTGAATACTTTACGCATACCGATTACTACAGAAATTGGTTAATTTGAGGGATTCAAAGAAGAAACACTGATGACAGGGGATTTGGAGCTTCGACGAGACAGGGTGATAGAGCGAAGCCGAGAGGTAGAGAAAAACTTAGGAGAAGATGGTTTAGGGTGCTTAGCTCTGACGATAATCTTTCTGAATACTTTGTTTACTTTAGAGAGCACGGTCATCTTTTGCTCAATCTCAATCTCATCATCATCGTCGTCGTCTTCAAAGACCGACGGGAGAATATTGGATTGACAAGGCGGGCACGTAGGGGCTACCCTCTTAGGCATCAAGTACATGGAGAAATCATCGAGTGAGTAAACATTTCCTGGAGACATCCTATAGTAAGATAAAGACAAATGTAGAACAACAAGATTTGCTGAACGAAACAAGGATGGATGGGGGTGGGGGTGGGGAGGAAGGTTAGTAAGCGAGGCGGTTTGGGGAGGACTGGTTAGCGTTTTGGGGTTGTTTTAGAACAATGGGGGAATATTTTGAACTGGGGTGTGGTCAAATGGTCTGAGTGGGATGGAGGAAGGACGAGTTTGGCAAACAGGTCTGGTTTTATAGGCATGAGATGAGAAGGTCCGGCTGCCCATCGAGCCAGTGGATTCTCATTCGGGCCGTCTGGTTTGACCAGCGGGGCGGAGCCATGCCTGAGCGGTGTGCCAGTTTGATTTGAAATCCAAGCCAACTGGGCCGCCGAAGTTGGGGGCACAAGTGTGCCATGCCGGTCAGCATCTGAATTGATCATGAATTTGACTGAGCTGGGCCAAAAGACATCCGATTTGGTCCCGCTGACCGGCGAAATCGCAATCATCCGTGCAAATGCTTTCCGGCCCATCGCAATGGAGTCAAACCACTCTTTCTAGCACTACGGCAATAGGCCGGGTAGGTTAAGTCGCAAGTCCCCATCAGCTGGCCGGCTTTCCAATTCATCGGTCATCCAGGCCTAAGACAAGACTGCGTGACCCAGCTCTCTCACTGCCGTTGGCCCAAGTTGCAATCCACTACTGCCCGGCCGGCTTCCTAATTCATCGGCCAACATGGCAAAGCCTGGAGACATGGTCATACATACCATTTCACTTCGGCGCGAAAATTCTCGTCGGTGGCGGCGGCACGAGCAAGCACTGACTTGGACGACGCCATTCAAACAGAATCTGTGTTTGGAGAGAAAATTCTACAAATTCTATGCTTTTTTGTATTTTTTTGTCTTTTAAAATCTTATCTTGTGTTTCTCACAAGGTGAGGGGAAATCTATTTCAACATTTTCTTATGGGGGAGAAAAATTGCAGAAATTCTGATTCTATGGAGATAAATTATGTATGTGTAAAGGAGCTATCTGGACCTGTGCTTATTTATCGAAAGAAGGCTCTAGGATTATCAATCAGGCACAGGGTTGCTGCTGTTTACCATTTGAGCAATGACTATGGTATACATGCTGGCCTCATCCATTTTGTATACCGTTTTCAAATGGAGAGTTAGTCAATTCATCAGACAGGAATTCCTCGAGGTACGCTTGACGATTTGCGAAGGCAGTTGAAAAAGCTATATCCTCGCCCCCAGAAGAAACAATGCAAACAGGTTGGCTAGATAACTGATTTATGTTTCTGCAATTTGGCTTAATCATTGGGCAAGTTCAAGTTACGCACCTTCCGGCTCATGGCCCAATATTTCTTTGAGTCGATCCAAATGGTTCTTCACTTGAGTTGATTTTTCAACCAGTTGAGAGACCATTGTGTCTCGGTTTTCATTAGACACACTTTCTGCAGCAGACAACTTTTCGATCCATGCGTATTCAGTCTGCTCGAGCCATTTGGACAACTGCTGGCCGTAGTGTTGTATGTCGAGAGCATTGGAGACATCGAAGGTGTCTGGTAACTTGTGAAAAGGACGGATTCGAATGATTGGTCCTCCCTTACATTCGTCACGGATTGAGTTTCCAATACTCCTGACTTCTTTTGAATTTTCGTCGGACAAGTCTCCTAGGATTTTGTGACCAGCGAAATTCGTCAGGCGGGGTGCAAGATCGAAAAATCCAGCTTCTGAGAGAGCACAGAACGATACAGGTCCGGGAAATACAAGGGAGTCAGATTTATCCCCAAGCTGCGAATCAAGTGTGAATAGAAACCTGGCGAATAGAAACCTGGCTGAATAAGAGCGGATGGATTCATACCTCTGATTCTAATAAGGTATTCAGGACCGAAAGCCTTCGTCAGAGCTGTTTGCAATCGTTCTTCTCTTGGGGAAAGCTGGTTAGCGGAGGACGTAGAGGCATCGGCGTCTGTCGTGAAGATAGACTTGCGCCAAGGACTACCATTCTCTCCAGATGAGCACGGAACAGTTGCATTTTTCCCTTTCCTGGATCGCACACTGGTCCTGCTAGCTGATGGATTGGACAAATTATCCTTTTGAGTTGCAGCAGCCTTGGTTTGCGAGATTACGGGTTTCTCTACAATCGGGTTGTTCCATTGATGCTCGAATTCTAGATATACCTCCATTGACAAACATGGTTTCGGCGATGAAAGACTCAGCATGAGCAAGAGTAAAGAGAATTTTGAAGCCGATTGGGTGGTCATTTTAAAGCAGTCTAAGGCGCCAAAGAGTCCGAAAACTGTACGGTGGACCTATCACCTCCTCAGAATTAAGTCACCTTTACTCTATGGGGGACGGTCGCTGATAGGAATAAGCCCTCTGCTCGTCGCTAACTTGCTGGAGTCCTTAAAGTGTTTGAAGGGGGGATTTCATTAGGTTAGCGCTCATCGGCATTCTAAACACCTGGTTTGATGTGCATCATAGCCATGTACACATGATACACACAAGTCCCATCGGCAAGCTCTGCCAGGTCGCATTGAAGGTTATATGCTTGAATCCCGATGGTCTACAGCAAGTGCACGTAAAAATCATGTACCCCAACTTGTTTGGGCTGTTGTTGGCCCCTGCTTTACATCATTTGTCTTCAGCCGGTCTTCAAAGTTAGTGAGCATGCAACAGTGATGGTCAAGTCATGGTCAAGTCAAGTTTTCACTTGAATACATAAATAGTCACGTATCTCGCAGTAACGAACCTTCCAATCCCTCGGCCTTCCGCGAAGGCTGCTCGTGTCATGACGCGTACCCTAGATGAAAATCGGTGTTTAGACGAGAAGGACATATTCCTCCTTTGCCCAAGAATCAAGATTATCAACTTCGAAAACAACGTTCTCAAACTTTTCCGTCTTGTGTCGCCCCGGGATTACATAAGCTCCAGAATCGAAATGGGATGATGAGCCTGCCTAGTGCTGAATGAGAATATTTTTCTGCTCCGTTTCACAGATTGTGAAGCTCCACACATCAAATGTAGCACCTAAATTCAGGATCCCATCCTAATGTCTGAGTCGAGGACTTGGAATTTTGTCTAAGCATTCCTGAAGGCACAATGCATGAGATGGCCGGTTGTCTGTCTGGTTTCGCGAGTCACCATCTGAGTTCTATTACTCGGTTAAGTAGTTGGATCTCGACGACATAGTATGACGTTCGAGCTGGCTCGCTGACGGGGCGTTCGCATGGTCAAGTGGAAGTGCCCTTGTAAGGTGTGGTACCAAGTAGCGACTTGCCTCCTTGAACCCTCTTGTTGCTACACACACGATGTCGGTCCCAAGCTAGGCACCATCATAGACCAATGACTGGCAGGAAATAGAAGCCCAGGTTCAGCTCAAATAGCACCTTGGCACTTATAATTCTGATGACTAATCCCTGGGCGTAGCTTCACAACCCATGTTCAGCTCAAATGGCCTCGGCGTAATGGAAGGACTCATGTTGGCTACCAAAGCAAAGGTTTTGGGGAGTGGAGTGTTATTCAGATTCTTACGACCGACTCAGAGAACTCCCGTTACAATTTCTCTACTTAAGGAGCGGTTAACCATAGAACATATTAATCCTTCACCCCATTCCATTCCAATCCGCTGTCTATATATACCAGTAGTAAATCTGAATACCAAGTGTTCATTGTATCTTATATTTCAATCCTATCCTGTTAATAAAGCCGGGCTTTCAACATCAACACAAACGCATCTTTCTTCTCTGCTGTCTCTTTTTCTTTTTGTAACATATAGCAAGTCTTAGTGATCTCAACCAACAACACAACCTAGACCAAAGTCAGATCAGCATCATGGTTTCTTTAAAACTTGCACAACTTATTTCGATCGTCGTTTTTGCTTCGATCTGCATGAATATTCAAGCTAGCCTTGACACGAGAGCCACCGGGGTGGCCAATCCCAACAAGTAAATGTCTTTAATATCTAGCGCGTCTAACCAAACTTTTAACGAAGAAGTGTTGTTTTTTGACTGTGTTGCTTATCCTTTTTTGACGCTCCCCAGTGTACCTGCAGCCCCTTCAAACGCGGCCAACAGCACGAATGCCAACACCGATCCGAAAAAACCCAAGCCAGCCCCTAATGCACCTGCCGGAAACGCCAAGACTCCAGGGTAAATAGTGCTCACTTCATTTCGAGCGAGCTCAACTCGCGAATCATATGAGTACGACGAAAAGAAGAATTTTTGTCTCTGACCGTGTTGAATCTCCCTCCCGAATCTCACCAGGTCATCAGCAAGTCCTTCGAACGCGCTAAACGGAAAGAATGGCAACACCGATCCTAAAAAGCCCAAGCCAGCTGGCACTCCAGATTCCAAACCCCCGACGGACAGACCTAGAGTCAACCCGAGTCCTCCTGGTGCTGCTGGAGCTGGAAATAGCACCTCTCAGGCCGGTGGGAAGAAGCCACCCAAGATGAAGCGAGGGGAGGCCCCGGGCGGCGGAGGAGGTGGATCAACACCAGAAGAAAACAAAGTCGGTAAGCTCAAATCCAAGCTCGGAGGCAGTGGGATGGGTGTTAAGTCTGGGGCCGGAGACTTGGGCGGAAAATCTACGCCGAGCAAGCGTGGTGAAGCCCCAGGCGGCGGAGGAGGATCACCATCGGACGAAAAGAAAGGCGGTGGTCTCAAGGAGATGCTCAAATCGAAGTCCGGAGGCGGTGGAAAGGGCGGTAAACTTGGAGGCGGAGGCATGGGCGGTAAGCCTCCGATGAGCAAGCGTGGGGAAGCCCCGGGCGGCGGAGGAGGATCACCACCGGAAGAAAAGAAAGGCGGTGGTCTTAAGGATATGCTCAAATCGAAGTCCGGAGGCGGTGGAAAGGGCGGTAAACTTGGAGGCGGAGGCATGGGCGGTAAGCCTCCGATGAGCAAGCGTGGGGAAGCCCCGGGCGGCGGAGGAGGATCACCACCAGAAGAAAAGAAAGCAGGCGGTCTAAAGGATTTGCTCAAATCGAAGCTCGGTGGCGGTGGAATGGGCGGCAAGATGGAGGTGGTTGGTATGGGCGACAAATCTCGATCAGAAAGC